GTCTAGAGCAGTCTCTCAGCTGAATTCACTTTTGCCTTGTATGGCCATGGCCTTGGTTTCTCAGTTCTAGATTTGGACTGAACACTGCGCCACTGCGACATCCAGCATTCGTTCTCTATAACAACAAGACTTTTTATCCAGGCTATCTGCTAGATGTAACCCAGATTACTGCTTAACATCAAGTCTAAAAATCCTCTATTACCTTTTTTTTGGTTTAGAAAATGGAAGACGAAATTGTTGCCGTTGTCATAGATAATGGGTCCGGTATGTGCAAAGTTGGCTTTGCAGGAAATGATGCTCCAAATGCTGTGTTCCCCTCCATTGTTGGATGCCCCAGACATCAGGTATTCCATCACATATTCCTCAAGAGTACTTTATAAACCTCAAATACCCTGTAAATTTTGTAACAATTGTTTTTTCTTTGTTGCCCAGGGTGTAATGATTGGTATAAGCCACAAAGACAGCTTTGTGGGTGACGAGGCACAGAACAAAAGAGGAATCCTGACTCTCAAGTACCCCATTGAGCACGGTATTGTTACCAACTGGGATGACATGGAGATGCTCTGGCATCACATGTTTTACAATGAGCTGAGAGTTGCCCCTGAGGAGCACCCAGTCCTCCTCACAGAGGCCCCCCTGAACCCCAAGATAAACAGGGAAAGGATGGCACAGGTAATGAGGGCTGACACCAGTTTCCTCCTACTCCTTCAACCTACCTTAAACTAATTTGTTTTTGCCTTTGCAGATGCTTTGGGTTTCTATCTTTGCACTGTGATGCATCAGGAATGATGAGCTGCAGCATGGGTGCTGCTGTTTATAAATTAGACTCATCAGACTTTAGCTGAAGTAGAAAACAAATGTTTAACTACACTGGTGTCTGCGTGAAGCAACTGTTAATAGCAGTGCAAATTACTGCACTCAGACTTATACAGTCAGTATAGCAAAAGAGTCATTCTATTACAGTATTCATGCTGTTGTTTCTGTATGACTAAACACATATGGTACATTTCATCTCAGACCACATTTTCTATTCAACCATCTCCTATGATGAATTTTATGATTTTATGGTGCAAAAATTAGATTTATTTATATGATTGTTGTGAAAATTTATCTTCATATATCAACTACTTTTCAAGATGCACTACCCGTCAAAAGAACACGCCAATTTTTCCAGTTTTTTATTGAAAATTATGTAGTTTAATGTCTCATTGCACTCTGAAATGAAAGCTACAAATAAGCAATTGCAGTTAAAAAATAAATCATGGAATCAATTTATAGACCAAAATGTATTCTTAACTTTTTACTTATCAAAGTAGCCACCTTTAGCAGATATAACAGCTGAACATGTGGCATTCTTTCTACAATAGAATCAAATACTGTTCAGAAAGTTCTTCCCATATCTTTTGCAAAAGTACCGATAAATGTGTGGCACTTGTAGGTGGCTTTGCTTTCACTCTTC